TGAGGTCTCGCCAAGTTGCCCAGGTGGGTCTCGAACCCGCGGGCTCAGGCAAACCACTCACCTCAGCCTCCCAAAGGCATGGGATTACAGGCTAAGCCACCGAGCCCGGCTCAATGAATAAATTTTTAAAAATAATTCTCAGATTTAGTTTTGAAAAATACAGTTACAGGCTGTTGACAAGAGAAAAACCTCAAATATATCAATGCTAAACATTTTTAAACAAAGGAACATTAGATATTATGTCAGGAACCTTTAGTTAAATAGGTAGAGTACGTGCCCTCATTTAACTTTGCTCCTTCTATTTCCTTGTATTTCTTATGTGCCGTTAGTAGGATACCACTGAAGATACTGACATATTTGATTAGTTTCAAATATTTTTTACCAGCTCTGTACCTTTTGTGATCTCAAATCTTTTTGCTTATGTTTTCAGAGTCCACATCCTCTCTTTAATAAAGTCAGTACTACAATAATCCAGGCCGAAAAGGTGAACCGTCTGCGGAATGAGGTACAAATAAAGCATGAAGAAGACTACAAGGAAGCCATAGTTACAATCAAGAATGACCTGAGATTAACAGAAGGTCCAGATATCAAGGAGAGCCTTCAAGACCAGATTCGACATTGGTTCATTGAATGCAGGTGACCATGAGTCGCATAGTGGTATAGTCAGACAGTCTCTTTACTAGTGGTTGAGGTTATTGTATATTATTAACCACAAAAGCATATTGATATAGAGTAAAAGCTTTCTTGACTTCATTTTAGAAAAGTGAAATACCAAGGCTAAGAATTCAGAAATTAATTTTCAAATGAAATTGGTTTTTGTTCTTTTTTAAAAAATATGGAAATATGGTCCACATGACTACATGAAATGGAACATTATAGGTGGTTGACATAGCCCCAAAATGATAGGACCTCACTGGTCAGGTCTTTCCAAGAGTCAGTAACAACCTTCCCTTCAGGGATCTGGTTGGCCTCTCCACTTGTAAGAGATTGAGATTCTAGATCATGGTCTATCTCTGTCATAATCCTTTGAGGCAGCTGCGGACACTTGACACCTGGTCCCCAGGTTTCCCTGAAATATGGGTCGGTAGGAGTTCTGGGGACAAGGCTCCAGACTTGTATGTGTATGAAAGGTAAATGATTTAAAACTTGTTTACAAAAGATGGTTTTTGAAAGATATTCTTTATTAGAGCATTTTTTCACATAGTCGAAGAAACATTCTGTAGGTAACCTAACTAGAGCAGATTTTTAAATAGATTTTATTTCAAGAGGGGAAGAAAAGAGGGCAGATTGTTGTGATCAGTCCCAGGAGCCATGGAAGGCAGACTTGGCCATCTGTTTTCTTTAAACACACCTTATCACATCCAGTCCCAAGATGCTCAGTCCCAAGATGCTCAGATGCCAGCTCTGGTTAGCTCATCAGGACCAAAGAATTTGATTATTGACAATAGAAAAATCACATTTTCTCTAAAAAAATTCTGTTAAAAGATTTTATATCTGTGGTAGGCAGCCTCAAAGCTGGCCTCCAGTGACCTCTCCCCTGGAGTTGGAAAATAACACAGCAAAAGTGATGGGTTATTGCTTCCATCCTTCTTGTCTGTCTTGCTTTCTCACTTGCTTTCTCCCTGTCTGGCTCAGAGTAGTCAGCCATCCAGTAGAGAGACCCACATGGCGAGGAGCTAAGGGAGACTCCCAAGCAAAAGCTAGCAGGGAACCAAAGGTCACATTCCAGCAGCCTGGAAAAAACTCAGTGCTCTGCTGGGCTCGGTGGCTCAGCCTGTAAACCCAGCACTTTGGGAGGCTGAGGCAAGTGTATTGCCTGAGCCCACAGGTTTGACACCTGCCTGGGCAATTTGGCGAACCCTCGTCTCTACAATAAATCAAAAACTAGCCGGGTGTGGTAGCACACACCTCTAGTTCCAGCTACTTGGAAGGCTGAGGCAGAAGGATCTCTGGAGCCCAGCAGGTGGAGGCTGCGGTGGCCAGGAGCATACCACTGTACTCCACTCCAGTCTGGGCGACAGAGTGAGACTCCAACTCAAAAAAAAAAAAAAAAGATTCAGTGCTGTCCACAACCACATGCATGGACTTGGAAGCAGATGGATCCTCCCTCAGGTGAGCCATCAGATGAGACCACAGTTCCAGCTGACACTTCAATCACAACCTTATGAGAGACCTTGAGGCAGAGGCACCCAGCTGAGCCACAGCTGGTTACCCATCCACAGAAGCTGTGGCACAATAATTGTTGTTTCAAGCCACTAAGGTTCAGAGTAACTTGTTATGCAGCAATAGGTGTGACTTAGAAAAATCTGAACTACTAAAAGTGTCTCGTCTTAATTTTACATTAGCTTAATTTTATCACACTATTTCCTCAGTAATACTTAATATTATAACAAAGTTTCTCTATAAAAGTTTGACATAACAATTGCACACTTTTGACTAGAGAGTACTATCCTTTCCTACAAGTACAATTTTTCCAATGACTTTTAAAAATCCAAAATCGATTAAGTGCATGAGGTTTTCTCTTATCTTATCTTATCAGGAATATTTTATAGTAAAACAGGAGATGTTTTGAATGAGAGGGTATTTAAAATGAGAAATTATATGTTGTATAAATTATGTGTGATAATAATAACAGATAGAGGAGCGGTGTTAATAGGGAGATATAGATAAGCACATATCCCCTCTTCCTTTCTTCATTAGTTTCCATCTCGCTTTTCCTTCTAGTAGTGGTTTCATGAGTATATACAAGGGAGGACCCAAAATTTATTTATTAAAAAGTGCGTATCTATTCTTACATGTTTAAACTTCAGTCACCTTCAAAGTACTCTTAATTTGATGCAATATATCTATCAAGATGCTTTTTCCACTGCTTAAAACACTTTTTGAACTCATCAGTTTTGATGCCTTTCAGTGCTTCTGCCGTTTTTGGTTTCCCCTCTTCCACATCAGCAAACATCACTTTGAGGACTTTTTTCATCTGGGGAAACAAAAAAAAAGTCACTTGGGGCAAGATCGGGTGAATAGGGAGGGTGGGACATGGGAATCATGCTGGTTTTGGTCAAACACTGCTTAACACTCAGCGTGGTGTGGGCAGGTGCACTTGGAAATCTCCCATCATGAAATGGGCAAATGTGGTTAAAGACTCTCCAAAAAAATTCACTGAAGCCGAATGCAGCCTCTCACAACAATGCTAGCTGGCACACTGTTGCTGATGGGTTCCTAGAACACTTACCTAGCAGAGGAAGCCCATACTATAAGACGCCCACTTTTCAAAAGATAATTCTGGGTTTTTAGGGTTCCCTCCTCACGTGTTTGTAAAAACTTATCCAATCACACACTTGAAATATAAACAGTTTATTGAATATCAATTACACCTCCATAAAGCTGTTAGAAATATATCACAATAATGACAGTATATCAGAAAAAAATTGAATGCTTTAATTCTTAAAAATAGCATGTTTTTCTGTTATCCAGAATACTAAAACCCAGTATTCTGACTGCTAACCTTGTTCTACTCCTGCTCACTGTATAAGACTTGCATTTGCCTGTTATAGGTGACTCTATCTTTTTCTGGTTTAAAATAGTCTCTCTTCAGGGTAACTGGTTCTTGTGGGTAAATTTGAAGTCAGTTCAAATGTCTCCCTCTCAAGAATCTTGCCCCATTTTTCTTCTCCTTGAGGTATCTTACTACAAATGGAAGTTACCAACAACTGGGGGCTGGGACAAAGTTAACTGCATCCGGACACACACTGTTCTGCAGGCGTGTGGTGTAGCCGCTCTGGTCCAGCCCATCTGGTCTGTGGTGGCTTCCTTCTGCAGCCTGTGCTGTCGCTGGGTATTGGTTCTCTCAGGACATCCACATCTCCCAGGTCCCTCCATCTCACTGCCATCAACCCTGAACCTGCTACACCATGCTACAGGCAGGAAGATGAGCACCACCCAGAAGTTCATAGAACCCCCTTAGTCACTCTAGGGCTTCTATAGGGGTCTTAAAATTCACCCCCTCTTTAGAGTTAACTTTAGAGTTAGAGACCCCCAAAGGGTGAAGCGCAGGGACTTAGTGTCCCCACTCTCACCTCCTCTCTTCCCTTTCCTTACCGATTTGTTCCACTAACTGATTGTTCAAGTTGGGAGTGACTTTTCATGAAAACTTCCCTATTTCCTCCTGGGTACAGGGGAGCCCCTCCATGCTCCTCTTCCAGGAAGTTTTGCATAATGATTCAAAGTGCAAACTGGAGTCGTGCCCTCCACAAAATAGCTGCACAACTTTGGGAGAGTCACTTAGCTTCTCTGTGGTTCAGTTTCCTCATCTGTGATATGAGTACAAGAATCATCCCTATTTCATGGGGTTGTAAACAGGCAGAGAGAGCTTAGCCCTCTAAGAGCGGGCCATTTTTAAATCTACCATATTGTAACCATCTGCTTACTCCGATGCCCCCTCCACCATATGAAGTGAAAGTCACATGAGGACTGTGCCTGGTACTAAGAAGAAGTTGGTATGTAAATTTCACAAATAAGCACCGAATGATGCAAGCTAATGGTATTCCAACTTTTCATTATTTGGGGTTTTTTTGTTTTGTTTTGTTTTGTTTGTTTTTTGAGTTGGAGTCTTACTCTGTCGCCCAGACTGGAGTGCAGTGGCCGCTCCCGGCCACCGCAGCCTCGACCTGCTGGGTTCCAGCGATCCTTTCACCTCAGCCTTCCAAGTAGCTGGAACTACAGGCATGCGCTACCACGCCCAGCTAATTTTTGATTTATTGTAGAGATGAGAGCTCACCAAGTTGCCCTGGCAGGTCTTTTCATTCTTATCCAATTATGTAATTGTGTCTGGAGAAAATATACTTAGGATGATTTTGCACAGCTGCAATCATGGAAATTTAGGTAGAAAGGAATTGCTTCAAAAGAATTAATTCTTCTGATTAAATCACTTTGGTTTATACTTAAAACCTTCATTTTCATAGTTAGCAAGGATTATATTCCCTGTGTTCATGAACTTTCCTTATCAGGAACTTCTTTCCTTTTCTCATGTGTCAGAGAATAAGTATCCAAAAATAGAGTTCTATAAATAAAATGATTCTTTACTTTTATATAGACATTTAAGATGTCTATATAAAACCAAGGTGAAAGCATTATGTACAAATATAACCCCAAATAAATTAAAATATATATAAACATATATCCACAAATACATTTGACTTATTAAATATATATTTTTACATGCATAGAAAATTTCTGGAAGGATATGCAAGAAACTGTTAGTATGACTACTTCTTGGGACTACAATGCTGAGGCTATTTTCTTTTTTATTCTTCTCTACTGCTATAAGGCTTTTTTTCAGCTCTAGTTGAAAAATGTACTGAAGAGGGAAAAGGGCAATCTATTTGGATTGATTTGAAATTCTTAAAGCACCCCAATTTTTAAAAAATAGACAAATGCACTTCCTTGGACACTCATGGAAACCTTCTTTGGATAGAAGAGCAGGGAGACGTGGGGCTGGCGGTGAGTTGAGTTGTGTCCCCCACCTGAGGTCCCAGAAGGGTCATGGGAGACTTGAGCAGCTCTGGATGTCATCCCTGGAGTGCCTTCTCAGTTGTTCCAGGGTTTATGGGCTTCCTTTGAAGATCCAGCCTTTGCTG